TGCACACGCAGACATGCACACGCACAGACATGCACACGCAGACATGCACACGCACAGACATGCACACGCAGACATGCACACACAGACATGCACACACAACGGAAAGGCAGTGCTGAGACGGGGAGGATGCAGAGTGGTGACGGCACAGACAGACCCGGTGGTCTCAGGGGTGGCTGTGTCCCTGGTGGTGCGCAGGCCCGTCCTGGGATGCTTTTTCCACCACGGCAGTCTTCCCAGGCTGCACATGGGAATCAAAGTCCACGGCAGGCAGCAAAGCGAGCTTTGAGAGGTTTTCTACAACCGCTTGTGGTCAAATCCCCCCTTTTGGCCCACAGGCATGCAGTATTCAGAGGGACGGTTGGCCACCAGCCTGGGGCTCTGGGCACCTGGGTGCACTGGGCCCCTGGGTGCGCTGAGCACCTGGCGCTCTGGGCACCTGGTGTTCTGGGCACCTGCTGCTCTGGGCATCTGGGTGCTCTGGGCACTGAGGCCCAACTCCCTCTCAGCCCAGGCTGGCTGCTGGCGACAAGCTCTCATAGCCATGGGTGTGGGAGCAGGAGCTGGCGTGAGCTCTCTGGGGGACTGTGGGACCAGAGGGGCCTGCCCACCCCCAGGGCTGGCCTGAGACACCCGGAGCACCAGCTGGGGAGCAGAGGCCCGGGTTCCTCTCACTGTGCCACCGCGGGCAAACCGTGTCTTTCCTGTGGCTGGCTGGGACGATCACCCAGGTTGGGGAGTGAGGGGCCTTCTGGAAAGCAATGGACACAGTGCTGGGCAGCCTGGCAGTCATGAGTGGGGAGGGAGGGAGGCAGTGGTCACTGGAAGCACAGCAGTGTGGCTCTGCCTGGCCCCAGGATGCTTTCTCCTATACATCTGGAGTCACAGGCTGGGCAGTGGCCCTTGGAGGCTGGCAAGCAGCTGTTCACACCACAGGGGGAGCTGCTGAGCAGCGGAACCCCCCCTCCCCCCGACTTCCTGGGTGGCCTCGACTCGTCCGCAACAGTGTCCCCATGTATGGGTCTTGTGCTGTGTAACAATGCCACCACACACCATCAGCTTAAGACAACACACATTTATCATCTAGTTTCAGCGTGTCAGGGGTCCCCGCAGAGCTCAGCTGGGGTCTGCTCAGGGCCTCACAGGCTGCAAGCAGGTCAGCCGGGGCTGCCGTCTCAGCTCAGACTGGACTGGGGAAGCTCTGCTCCTAGGCCCCGAGGACGCCTGTAGCCCTCAGACCTAGCAAGCTGCAGGGCTGAGGGCCTCTGCTTCCTGCTGGCTGGAGGTGGAGGCGCCCTCAGCTCTCTGCCCTATGGACCCCTCCACAGGACAACTTGTTTCTTCGTGGACAGCCAGCAAGGGACAGTCTCCTAGCTAGACGGACAGTACAATCTTATGCCACATAATCACAAAAGGGACAGACATCACCCTGGCAGTATGCCATGTTACAAGCAAGTTGAAAGTCCACCCACAGTCAGGCAGGGGGTTGCACAGGCCACGAACACAGGAGGTGGGCTCATTGGGGGCATCTTAAAGGCTGTCTGCCGCACCCCAGGAGGGGCCACATCACCGAGCCCTGGGGCCTCCCAAACCTCATCATGCTGGGTCTTGTGTGGGGGTCTGCCTTGGAGCAGCCTTCGAGGCTGCCACAGGGTGGGGGTCAGGCCCAGAGTGTGCCTGCAAGGGGTCTTGCACTGGCTGAGGGCTGCTGGGCTCGCTGTCCAGCCCTGACTTGGAGTGAGGCTCAGGCCCAACCCAGAGCCCTCCTGACATGGGCTGTGAGCCTTCAGGTGGTCTTTGAGCTCCTGGCAGGTGTGTGGTGTAGGACCAAGAACCAGAGAGCAAACCCACCCGTTCAACTCTGTGTGGCAGAAATGGGGTCTGAGACAGTGTCTGCTCCTGAGGGGCATGTGGGCCGCAGAAGGCCCAGGAGAGTGGACAGAGAGAGAGAGGCTCTAGGGAGCTTGGACCAGTACAGCTCACACAGACTGGCTAGCTCAGGTGGGGGCCCTGAGGGCTGCCTGGGTCACTGGGCACTGCGCTCCCATGCACGCTCTCCAGACCCTCATAGACCCTGGGAGGAGGCAGGCTGGGTTTGGGGACTTGTGCACAGATGAGGCGCTGAGGCCGGAAGTGTCTCCTTTAGCTGTGGGAAGTGCCGGGCGCTGATCACAGAGGAGGGGGATTTGCACTGAACCTGCACCGGTCTCCTTGGGGCAGAGAGGGCCGCAGAGGGCAGGGAAGAGAGGCCCAGGACTGCCCCAAGGACTCTGGAAGAGCAGGAGAGGGTCTGTACCCAGCCCCCACCCCCAGCTCCTGGCATCTGTTCCCATTCAGCACCAGGGAGCCCGTCGGAGCTCAGCCCAGCGCAGCCAGGGCGCCTCCACCAGTTCAGGGGGGACCTGAGGCCTTGGTCGGAACCATCTGGTGAGAGAGGCCAGGGGGGCGCTGAGACCAGATGCTGACCCAGCACTTCTAACAAAAGGGTCGGAACGAGGTCGCCAAACCTAGGTTTGGGTGCTGCCTCTGCAGATGCCCAGGTGGTTCCCAAGGGAGAGTGAGCTCCCGCCGGACTGCATGCAGGGCTCACATCCCAGCTCCGTGCCAACCCCACATCCCAACTTCAGGCCTTCTCCACCTCTGCGCCCCAGACCCCGCCCTGCAGATCCCTCTCTGGACACCAGGTCTGGCCCCCCGCCCCCGGAGTCCCAGGACTCGCCTCTAGGCCCCCCTCCACAGCCCCGGGCCCACATCACAGACCTGGGCTCACCTTTAAGCCCCGCCCCGCGGTCTGGGCCAGAGGTCGGTGACGCGCCCGCTTCCACCCCGCAACCGGGTCCACAGGCCGGCTCTTCGCCGGAGTCCGGGAGTCCCAGCCTTGGTCCCCGGCTCAGGTTTCCCCCGTGCCCCCCCCCCACCACCACACCCGCCACGCGCACTTGGAGCCGGAGATGGACAGCCCTCCGCCTGGGTCCGACCGCGCCCCAGCCGCGCTGCCCAGGGTTCCCTCGGGCCCCACCGGTCACTGGCGGTCTCGTGGAGACGGGCCTGAGCAGGGTGCTAGGGCGGGACCGCCAGCCTGGGGTGGAGGAGGATGGCGCGGTGCTGGACTCACAGAGGGAGGGGGAAGCACGCGGAGTTATCTATCTTTAGGCCTCGCAGTGGGAGCCAGGGGAGGGGCCTCCCAGAGGACTCCCTGGAAGAGATGAGGCTCAGGAGGGGCTGGATTTGGAGAGCAAACAGGGCTTGCAAAGGCTCGGAGGGCGGTGGTAGCCTTGAGCAGACTTGGGCAGGAGGAGCTGCTGAGAGCCCAGACGGGGGAGGGGAAGGGAGGGCGTGTAGTGGAGCTGGAAGGCTGGCCTCAGCCCTGCCAGGTGCAGTCCTGGCCCGGGGCCTGTCCATCCAGGCCCACGGCGTAGCGGGAGCTCCAGTCCCGCTCAAAGAGCTGCTGCAACTGCTCCTGCACAGTGGGAGCCCCTGGCTGGGTGCTGGGGGCCCTCTGGCTGACCACCAGGCCCACACCCGAGGTGCTGCTGAAGTAATCCTCAGACCAGTTGGAGGTGCCTGGAGAGGAGGGGGAGAGGCGCTCATCATGGCTCTTGTGGCCCCTTGCAGCCCTGGCCCCACTGCAGAACTGGGGCTGGTGGGCGCACTGGCCTCTGCTGTCCTCAGCCTCCAGCCAGGCAGCTCCTGGCGCCGGTGAGGAGGACCAGCTAGCTCTTCAAATGTGGAACTCACCCAGAGCACTTGGGGAGCCCCGGCCAGGGGGGCACAGGTGGCCTGGCTGGCCTTCTGGGAACTCGGTGCTCAGGATTTCCCCACCTGCCCAGCGAGGGCAGGTGACAGCTAGGCAGTTACCTATTCCCCAGAGCTCCACCAGGGACCCGGAACCCTTCAGCAGCCCCTCTGTCCTGCGGGGTCCATACTGGACACAAGACCATGCCCCCTTCAGCACCCTCTTCTGTCACTGCCCTGGGGACATGCACCCTTCTGTGGGTTTGTGTGGTCTCTGGGTGTCACATCCACTCCTGCAGCCCCCGATGCCCCTCAGCAGACGCAGTGGGTCCTGGAACCACCTGGCCGCTGGCCCACAGCTCTCCCCCCGGGCGCTCACCAATGTAGGCCGCCTTCTCCGTGACCATGAACTTGCTGTGGTTCACCCTGCTGAATGGGATGTTGGAGTGGTTCCCCACCGGCACGATGAACACTTTCTTCAGGGCACAGAGAAGGGCGTCAGGCTGGGCAGGAGGAGGAGAGGGGCTGCCTTCCCCACGGCCCCCCAGGAAGGGCCCTCACCACATCCACAAAGACACCAGCTGAGGGGTTGCTGAGGGCCTGCAGGGACCGCAGGTAGGGGAACATGGTGGGGTCTGTGTTGAGCCAACAGCTGACCAACAGACGCACGTGGACACCCCTGCTGAAGGCTGCTGCCCGCAGGGCATTGTCCAGTACTGGCCAGTACCTGGGGAAGGGCAGCGCCCGGGTGGGTATCTGCAGCCGGGGACCTGCCCAAGCTGCCCTTCAGCAGAGCCGCCCCGCCTCCAGGGCCTCTGGCTCTGTCCAACGCACCTGGCAGGGTGTTGGAAGCGAGTGGTGGGGAAGTACTCCATCACGGAGGCGTAGATGAACTTCCGGGCCTCCCCCATCACCGCCAGCAGCGCGTCCAGGTCCTGCGTGCGTCCATGGGGGCAGAGCACAGGCGGCGAGGCCTGCCAGGGAGGCTCCGTGAGGGTGCCGTGGCCACCCCTGTGCTGGGCACTCAGCCCCCAGACCCAGTCTGTGCACCGCCCTCCGGCACTCGGGGACAAAGCAGCCCATGTTGTGGTGGAGATGGAGCCCCAGGCAGGGGCCCTGGGCTGCCCGCAGTCCTCACTGGGACACCAGGAGGGCACTGGCCCCCGAGCTCCAGCTGGCCGGCCCTCCCTGCCCCAGAGAAGAAGGCTTCTCCACTAGGTCAGGTGGGCCCATGTCTCAGTGGGGCATCCCTGCCCCTGTGCTCCAATGGAGGAGGGTGGCTGGCTGGCATGGCTGGCCGCCCCTCTGTCTTTCCTCTGCCCGAGTGAGGGATCTCTGAGCTGGGTGGCTCCTTGGAGATAAGCCGGTCCTTCCCACCTCGTCCCCAGACGCCAAGCGGGAGCCTCTTTGCCCCACCCCTGACGGTCTGTTTGGAGACCCCCAGGACCAGCAGGCTTGCCAGCACCTCCTTGGCCACCAGTCTCCCGTGGGTGGCACTGATTGGGTGTTCCCTCCCAGAGATGAGCCCGCCTCCTGGGAAGCCTGCTGACAGCCAGCCTGCCCTCGCCTGAGGCCTTGACCCAAGCCCACCGGCTCTGGGTGGAACTGCGTTGGCTCCCTGGGCACACGTGTCAGGGGCAGGGCCAGGCTGGGCAGGCGGGGCCAGGCTGGGTGGACCAGGGAGAACCATGAGGAGTTCAGCCCTTCATCGACCCCTTACCGAGAAGTAGGCAGTGGTGGGCACCCCCTCGAAGCGGCCCCAGAAGGGCTGGAAACGGTTGATGTGGGACGAGAAGTTCCGAGGCCAGACTTTGGGGATGACAGCCTGGGGCGCGCCTAGCGCCCAGTAGATCTGGAAGGCCTTCTCCAGGTCTCGGGCCAGGCGGCTGCAGTTGTAAATGACAGCACCAAGCTCCTTCACCTGCGGGACCAGGGCGGGCGGCTGTGGGAGCCAGGCTGCTGGGGCTGAGGGTTGCCCGCTCTGGCCAGGCATACTCGGGGGTATGCAGGCCCCCACTGGATGGGGGCCCCAGTGCAGCATCACCTGCAGGAACCCAGAATAGATAGTGGGCTTCTGGCAGGGGGGTGCCCAGCGGGCCCCTGATGTTCTGGAACGACATGTAGTCTGATGATCAAAGCCTAAAACAGAACCCTAATTTCACAGCGACAGCTGCCGCTACGTACGATTCAGCCCTCTGACACATTTGTAACGCACTGCGACTTCGAAACAGGGATCATGCTTTGTTGTCTGCACGCGTCCCTGGATGATGTGCCTGGGACGTCTTTCCACATAGCTGAATGGCCCTCCTCAGCCTGAGTTCAGCCCCCAGCGTGGTACCCAGGACTGTCTAACAGTCCCCTCTTGTCTCCACTGTTGGGATGTTATACACAGGCTGTAGCACCTGGCTTCCCTTGGCTGACTTCTCACGACACCGCCTTCTCTAGATGAACGTGGGCATCTGCAGAGTCCCCAGGGTGTGGGGAGGGGACTCACCTGCGTCAGGGACCGCCAGTCCATGTTGGCACTGCCCACGTAGACATGCCGCCCGTCCACGACCCAGAACTTGGAGTGCAGAACGCCCCCAGTGAGCTGCCTCATGGGCACCTGCCGCACCTGGGCACCTGGCCGAGGTTCAGGAAACAAGAGGAGTTAGCTCTTGTTAAGTGCCAGCTGACGGTAAGTCTGATGCTCTTACCCTGGGCTGACTCCTGTTCTCAGTCCTGCTCAGTCAGTGACGTTATCATCCCTGGTTTACAGGTGAGGGCCCTCAGCGGTGGACAGGTGATTGGCCCAGGGCCTCCAGGCAGCCTGGCTCCAGAGCTCGAGTTTGTTACGACTGCCCCTGGCTTTTGCCTCCTGGCAGATGTCCCAGCCCAGGCCGCCCCCCACCCCAGGAGCTGGGACCACCTGGCACTCTGCCCCGTGGGAGTTGACACCCCTGCTCCTTAGGGCCACTCTGGGTGAACAGACTGAAGGAGCTCAGAGCCCAGCCCCCTCCCTCTCTCTCGGCTGGGGAGGCACAGGCACGGGACCTTCCTGGCCTCTCCATGCTTGTCCCGAGGCGCCAGGGTGTGGTGATGGCGCAGGCACCTACCCCGGGCTGCCAGCACCTGCAGGTCTGTGGACTTCCTGGCCAGTGTCGGGTTGCTGGTGGCCACGGCCAAGGAGATGTTTTTGTCCAGCAGCTGCTGTAGCTTCTGCAGGAGGGCCTCTCCCTGGGGGGCCAGGTTAGCCGTGAGGCCGGCCCGTCCGGGTCTAGGCCCTGGGGTGACCCCAGCTGGCCCCCTGCCCCATAGCCCCTCAACAGGCCCCAGACCTCGCCCAGGAGGCCGCCCCAGCTGGCCCCAACCACCTACGGCTCAGCGTCAGGCCAAGCACTTGGGGCCGTGAAGACCTGAGGCCAGGATGGGTTTGAGCACTCTGTCCTCCAGGCCCCTCGACGCCTGCCCCAGCGCCCCCAGAGGAGGTGCCTGGCCCCACCCCTCCCCAACCACAAGCTGAGCCCAGGGCCTGGCCCCATAGCCCAGCGCAGTTGTGTCCGGGCGGGTACTGGGGGCACACCAGCTGGGAGGACGGGTCGTGGATGCCAATGTCAGCCCCCGTGAGGGACCAGTAGTAGGAGGCCACGTGGACACTCTCCTGGGCGCTGTCAAGGAGCCGCAGCCAGGCCTGGGCCAGGGGCTGGGCTGCCGGGCTGGGCGCCAACAGCAAGTCCTGGGGGAGGCTCTCCACAAGGACAAGCCTGCAGAGAGGGGAGAGGGCAGCTGGAGCCCCTTCGTACAGCCTTCTACTCAGGAGAACCCACACCCACGGGAGTGGGGAGGGGGCGTGGGGAGCAGGTATCAGACTGGGAGGGTCAGGCCTGACCCAGCAGCCAGCAGGAGCGTTGACACCCAGGAGCGTGGTGGGGGAGGCAGCTGGTGGGGCGGGCCAGAAGGCAGACTGTGGGGCCGGGCTCCATCCCAGCCCCGACCCAGAGGGCTGCCCACAGGAGTGGATCAGAGCTGGTGGGTCTGGTGTCGCTGACCCAGAAGGAGAGGGGCTTGGCCAGGAGTCAGTGCGGACTTATCCCCAGGTGTGCAGGACGGGGGGTAGGCCAGGTGTGCCGTGGGGCAGGCTCCTCCCTGGGCTTGCAGGTGGGGGCAGTAAACCACCCCCCAGGAGGGGGACGAAAGGTCCAGGCCAGGATGGTGTGTGTCAGCACATCAGAGTCCAGGAGGATGGGCGGCTCTGCCACACCCAGCTAGCGTCGGCTACAAGGGACCCAGGACCACCGGCTCTCTGCACCCAGCCTGCACTGTCTTCCTGGGACGGTCCAGCCTGCCCCCTCAGCCCCCAGCCTCACTGCCTGCCCTCCCTGGGGCCCCTGCTTCCGGAGAAGATGGGGCAAGACTTCACCCAGGGGGCCTAATGGGGGTGAGTTTGGACAGGGGTGAGGGGCAGAGCTTCTCCCAGGGGGCCTAATGTGGGGGTTTGGACAGGGGTGGGGGCCAGGGCTTCTCCCAGGGGGCCTAATGGCAGACTTGGGTGGAGGTGGACATGGTGCTTCTCCAAAGGGATTAATAGGGGGACTCGGGCAGCAGGCCTGGAACTGACCCCCAAGCACACTTACTGGCATGTGTCCTGCCGCCTGGACCTCGCCTCCTCTCCCCAGTGCTCCCAGGCCAGGTGGGAGCCATGGCCCTGGGACCCAGTGGGTTCTTCCTCGGGGTATCCCTGGACCCAGGTGGGAGGAGGGGGTGCTTGCCACAGGAGGAAGATAAGAGTCAGGGTCCCCAAGCACAGCACAGCCAGGATCCTCAGCACCTACAGTGGAGATGGGCGTCACCCTTAGGCCCTGGGGTGACTCTGGGTGCTCCAGGATGGATATGAGACTGTTCGGGCTGGGGGGGGGGTTCTGTGGCTGGTGGGGGGATGATGCAGAGAGGAATGGTGCCCCCATGTTGGAAAGTCAGGGTGGCCAGGTCCCCTCTGATGCTGCGGCCATGTGGTTGCTGCCCATTTCCCCAGACCCCCATGGCTGAGGCACGTGGGCAGATCCTCGTGGCTCAGGCTGCTGGGCTTGCCTTGCCTACTGGTCAGGGTGCCCCATGCCACCAACCCTCCCATGGCTGATGGGGTTCTGTCCTCCCCACTCTGGCCCAGGGGCCCTGTGAGGCTGTGGGGCCCCACCCCGTGCCCCTTCCTCTCCTTACCATGCTGGCTTCACTGTCCCGTGGGCTGGGGTGGGGTGAGGAGCAGGGCCACGAGGGGGTCCCCACAGGTCTCTGTGGAGGTCTCAGTGCCACCTGCAAGGGGCAACCTGGAGTCACCTGCCAGGGGCAGCTGGGCCAGGGACACCCCTCCAGCAAAGCACCCCACAGGCACAGCTGGAACCCCCAGGAGCCTCCCCACTCCTGCCTGAGGCTGCCACGCAGGTCTGGGGCTGCCTGGCCAGGCTCTGGGCTCCATCCTGTGGCCCTCAGCCCAGGCACTGTGGCCCCTCGGGGGTAGCCTCCTTTGAACCCTGAGGTGGCCAAGCCCTTCCGGCACCTGGCCTTTGACTAGCATCTGTGTGTCAGTGCAAACAGTTAACACGCTTGGCTGCTACCTGAAAACCTGGAAGCTTAAGTCTATCTAGAAGTGCCTTGGAAGAAAGACCTGGTGATCTACATCTGAAAAATCAGCCACTGAAAACCCTGTGGAGCACAGTTCTCCTCTGACACGTGGGGGTCGCCAGGAGTCGGGGTCCACTTGAAAGCAACTGGTTTTTTGTTTGTTTTTAGTGTGCGTGGGGGGTGGGGCACAAGGCTGTGAGTCTTCCTCTCTTGGGGTATCTGGGCATCTGAGTCTCAGTTCCTTGTTTCAACCACAACGCAGAAAAATCTGAAAATGCCGTTTCTGCTTTCTCTGCTGGGCCCCTCAGCACAGACCTATAAATAACCACTTTCCTTCCCTGGTCCTGCCCCCAAAATGGCCCCCCTGCTGGGCCCTGGAGGCATTGAGGGCAGAGGGCCCAGTGTGGGTGGAATCGGCCTTGGCATTGCTGTCCTGGGGCAGAGGACCGGACTTGACGCCTCCGAGGAGTCCCTAGGCCCCAGGGAGATGCCTCCCTGTGGTAGACATGAGCAGGCTGCTCCTGGAGGTCAGCGGGGCCACCACGGGGCGCGGGGAAGCCTGTGTGCAGCGCTGTCCCTGTCCCTGAGACCCTCAGGGGCGTAAGCCCCTCCCCTCTCCCCGGCCTGGGTGTGGGGGCCGTGTGGTCTGGGGCCGGGGCTGCCAAACGTCTGACCAGCAGCAGCAGCTGGGCGTCAAGGCCCTGGGCTCCTCTTGGGCTGTCCCTGCGGGTCAGAGGTTTGGAGCCCTGCGGCCCAGAGGCGGGGACCCAGGAGTGGGCCTGGAACTCCAGAGCAGTACTGGGTGGTGGTGCCCCCAGAAACCACCGTGAGAGAGGCTCCAACTGTGGGAGATTTCAGGGACAGTCAACAAGGTCCAGACACCCTCACCGCCCAGGGTGCCCCCTGACAAAGCGGAGCCCAGGGTGCCCCCCTACATAGCGGAGCCCAGGGTGCCCTCCCACAAAGTGGAGCCCAGGGTGCCCAGCCCCTCCTTCACTGGCTTGGGGGAGGCAAAAATGAGATGTGCTGGGCTGGAGCCAGGTGAGGGGGGGGCCCCGAGATGCCCTTGGAGAAGCTGCTCCCCACCCTGCCTGCACCACATGCCCCCTAAAATTTCCCCTATTCTGGAGCCATCCGAGGCAACTCCTGGGACCACAGAGCCCCAGAGCTGTCACCCCTGCCCCAACTCCGACATCCCAGAGGCGCAGACTGGCTGGGGCCTGGGGGAGACCAGCCCCCGGGGTGGCCCCATGTGTCCTGTGTCCCTACAGTGGGGCTGGCCATTTGGAGAGAATAACCCATTAGTGGTGGCATCTCTGGACTGTGGGGGCTGTGGGGACACCTGTGGGGTGGCCACCAAGCCTCCCCAGCCCTGGTGGGCGGCCTCAGGACCCTGCAGGTGGCAGGGGTCAGGGATGAGGGTACTCTGTCCCAAATTCCTGACCTGCTGAGCACGAGGCACGGCTGTGGTCCCAGGCCAGGCAGGGAGCCCTCAAGGCCGCAGGAGTCAGGGTTGCAGGCCCCTGCCCAGGACCTTCCCTGGCTCCTTCTCCGCCCGGCCAGCCTCGCCATCACGCACCTCTGGGGCTGCTGCCTTTGCATCCATCCCGTCCAGCACGGCCTGCAGCGCGACAGCTCCCCGGGGCCGCTCAGCGCTGCCTCCACCACCTCACCCACCTGCTCCTCTCTGCAGTCCTGCTTCCCCTTCCAGTCACTTCCTCTCTGTCCTGGTACTCACCCCAGGACAGACATCTGGAGGGGGTTGGCAGGCTAGAGGGCGTGGCCTGAGCCCTTCACCTCGAGAAAATGGCCTTCTTGGGTGGGGGCTCCATGGTCAAAGGCCCACGGAGCCAAGTTAGGCTCCCCTGCAGCCACTGAGCCCCAAAGACACAGTGGCTTAAGGACAGAAGTTTACTTCTCTCCCGCCCAATCAGGTGTGAGTACCAGCTCCACAGCCATTGGGACCCAGGTTCCCTCCGGCATGCAGCGCCAACCCCTAGGGGTCATCACCTCAGGATTCCTAGCAGAGCAGACTTCCTGGAAGTCCCCCAGGACACCTCCCCTTACACCTCATGATTCCAAACTTAGTCACATGGTCACTTAGCTGCAAGGGAGGCTGGGAAATGGAGGTGGCTAGTATCGCCATCCTAGAGAACACAGGGGGGCTGTGGCCGGGACCCCCAACCTGGATAATGCAGTGGTGCCGTGGATGGGACCAAAAACCCAGAGAGTGTGGGGACCCCCATGTTGGAGAAGGCAAGGCGTGTGGGTGAAAGATTCGTGCTCACAGTCCTCCCCGCAACATGTAGCTTCTTGGGCCCAGCTCACCATCTGCAAGGGACGGAGCCAGCTCTGCCAGGGCGGTGCTCCCAAGCAAGTTGGGGCACCTACTGTCTGTTAGGGCGCTTCCAGCTCCCCGAGGTTCTGTGGACAGTCCTGTGGGGCAGGCAGAGAACACCTTCTGACTGCTGAGGCTAATCTCTGAGGGCAGTCCCGGCAGGTGGCTGATTGAATTCTGTGTTCTTTTACCTTAAGTTATTGCGTTGTGATGAATTACTTAATATGGCCCTTCTGGCCATGCTCTTTGTGACTGCACACAACGATTGAGTGGGAATATGCAAATAAGGTATATGGAAACTGTGAGGGTTGAGTTTATGTGCCAACTTGACTAGGCCATAATGCCCAATATTGTATGGTTGTCCTCCATTTTATGCATTGTGGATCCTGACCTCTGCATGTTGATGAGGCAGGATTGGTGTAAGGTGTCTTGGGTCAAAGCCTTACAGGAGTGTGTGGCTCAAGTCCCACCCTTACTAAAGTTCTGCCCTTCCCTGGGGTGTGGATGCCCTGGTGGGGCTCTCCCTCTCTGCATCTGGATCCGCCATCCAGTTTGTGATAGTCTAACCTCTGGTTCTTGGGACTGGAGCCTGAGGCCTGCTGTCTGACTTGCCGGTTCTGGGAGTGGCCAGCCTCCACAGCCCCGTGGGCTGGCGGCCTATCGTCTGACCTGATTCACCAGCTTCTGCAGCCTTGTGAGCCAGCAGCCTGTGGTCTGAACTGCCAGTTTGGGTTTGTCAGCCCTGGCAGCCACGTAAGTTGGGAGAAGCCTATGCTTGACCCATGGATTTGGGACTTGCCAGCCTCTACAACTGTGTGACCCATTTCCTGTATATGGTTCATGAGTTCTGTGAGACATTACAGCGAACTAGGGAACCCAAAGGTGGGAGGGAGAGTACTGAGGAGAGAGAGAGTAGTTGATGTTAGGGATGATGGAGTGGTACAGCAGCTTGGAAAAGTTGGGCATTTGGGACTTCTTTAACCTCTGCTTGATAGGAACCAGCTTTGTGCTAATCCTTATAAAAGAAATTATTCATTTAGTTATTGTGTGTTCTTAAGTAAAATAATATTAAACACTATCTAAAAACACTTTAGATATGTGTCGTATAAATAACATGTATTACTGTTAGGTTCTGTCAAGTTGGTTCCAACTCACAGCGGCCCTATGTACAACAGAGCGAAACACTGCCCGGTCCTGAGCCATCCTCACAGTCACTGTTATGCTTGAGCCCATTGTTGCAGCCACTGTGTCAATCCATCTTGTTGAGGGTCTTCCTCTCTTTTGCTGACCCTCTACTTTACCAAGCATGATGTACTTATCCAGGGACTGATCCCTCCTAATAATATGTCCAAAGTATGTGAGACAAAGTCTCACCATCCTTGCTTCTAAAGAGTATTCTGGCTGTACTTCCTCCAAGACAGATTTGTTTGTTCTTCTGGCAGTCCACGGTATTATTCAATATTCTTCACCAATATCATAATTCAATTCTTCTCTTCACCAACACCATAATTCAATTCTTCTTCAGTCTTCCGTATTCATTGTCCAGCTTTCACATGCATATGAGGTGATTGAAAACACCATGGCTTGGGTCAGGGCCACCTTAGTCCTTAAAGTGACATCTTTGCTTTTTAACACTTTGAAGAGGTCTTTTGCAGCAGATTTTCCCAATGCAATCCATCATTTGATTTCTTGACTGCTAAAGGGCATTGATTGTGGATCCAAGTAAAATGAAATCCTTGACAACTTCAATCTTTTCTTCGTTTATCATGAATGTTGCTTATTGGTCCAGTTGTGAGGATTTTTGTTTTCTTTATGTTGAGGTGTAATTCATAATGAAGGCTGTAGTCTTTGATCTTCTTCAGTAAGTGCTTGAAGTCCTCTTCATTTTCAGGAAGCAAGGTTGTGTCATCTGCATATGGCAGGTTGTTAATGAGTCTTCCTCCAATCCTGATGCCCCATTCTTCTTCATATAGTCCAGCTTCTCAGATAATCTGTTCAGTATATAGATTGAATAAGTATGGTGAAAAGATACAACCCTCGCCCACAACTTCCCTGACTTTAAACCATGCGGTATCCCCTTGTTCTGTTTGAACGACTGCCTCTTTGTCCATTTATAGGTTCCTCACGAGCACAATTAAGTGTTCTGGAATTTCTATTCTTCAAAATGTTATCCATAATTTGTTATGATCCACACAGTCGAATGCCTTTGCATAGCCAATAAAACACAGGTAAACAACTTTCTGGTATTCAGTGCTTTCAGCCAGGATCCATCTGACATCGGTAATGATATCCCTTGTTCCACGTCCTCTTCTGAATCTGGCCTGAATTTCTGGCAGTTCTCTGTCGATGTACTGCTACAACTGATTTTGAATGATCTTCAGCAAAATTTTACTTGTGTGTGATATTAATGATACTGTTCAATAATTTCCACATTCTGTTGGATCACCTTTCTTCGGAATGGGCACAATATGGATCTCTTCCAGTTGGTTGGCCAGGTAGCTGTCTTCCACATTTCTGGTGGAGATGAGTGTGCGCTTCCAGCGCTGCATCCGCTTGTTGAAACATCTCAGCTGGTATTCCGTCAATTCCTGGAGCCTTGTTTTCACCAATGCCTTCAGTGCGGCTTGGACTTCTGCCTTCAGTACCATCGATTTTTGATCACGTTACCTCCTGAAATGGTTGAACATCAACCAATTCTTTTTGGTGCAGTGACTCCGTGTGTTCCTTCCATCTTCTTTGGATGCTTCCTGTGTTGTTTAATATTGTCTAACTGCCATTTAACCCTCTTATCGGGATTTTTTAAAACTTTTTTTTTTTTTTTAGTGATTACGGTTTTCAGTGTGATGCTTTTCCAAATCTCACTATCTATATTTTATGTTCTTTTGCTCTTTGCTCATCTTTTTAATACCATTTTTATTTGTCTTTTGTTTTTTTTTTGCTAGAATTGAAAATGCCTTTCTCTAGAGATGATTTGTATTCAATTCTGCAGGACCCAGGGATTGCTATCAACTCAGAATCCCTTTGGTTAAATTTCTCACCCTGGAGGTCCTTTGACTGCCTACAGTCATATAAATTTGAACCCCAAGCCCACATGAAAGCAAGGGGAGCCTGAGAAGAGACAAACCGAGATGGCCCTTAAGTCTCATTGTCATTTGTCCTTCTGTAGCTTAGTAAGAAGTGGGTTCAGCAGTTACGAGTTAGCTTAGTGAAACAGCAAGCTGATAGCACATTCTGAGATCCAAAGCTCCCCTTTATAATGAGGACATTACTTAGCCAATGTCTTAGTTATCTAGTGCTGCTGTAACAGAAATACCACGAGTGGGTGACTTTAACAAAACTGACGAAAGACGTATTGAACCAGAAGTGCTACAAATCACAGGATGGACAAACACAAAGAAAGTACTCCTGGACGCACGATAATACAACCAGTGAGACCCTGATAACAAAGAGGAAAGTCTTTCAAACAGCTAGGAAAGAAGACACCACCTTCAGAGAGACAACGAAAAGACTTCTGACTTCTCCAAACAATGGAAGCCAGGAAAAAATCAAGGAATATTATGAAAGTTCTCGGGGGAAAAATTCTATCCACTTAGAATTCTAAATCAAGTAAAGAAGAAAGGCAAAAATACAGTAACTTCCAAACACTCCTCCTTCCAAGAAATTGGAAGAATTCATCACTGCAAACCTGCACTCAAAACAAAACGAACAAACCAAAAAAAAAAAAAAAACCACCACCAACAACAGCCACCACAACAAGAAGAAAACAAATAAACGGACGACTTTGGGAAAATGGTCCCAGAAGGAAACACGAAAACGCAGGAAGGGAAGAAGAGCCCAGAGCAGCAAATATGTTGGTAAATCTAAATGTGTATTGTCTACACAAATTAATAGTTTATTGTAGACAGTAAAATATGTCTAGAATTTAAATGCCTGATAAAATAGCATAAAATGACAAACGATAGTACTATAATGATAGCATTAAGACGGGAAAGAGGTAGATGATTTAAAGTGTTGGAAAGTCTTTGCTTTGTCCATGAAGTAGTAAAAGTACAAATTTACGTTAGACCCTAATAAGTGAAGGATGAATTTTATAATTGAATCTTATGATCATAAGTTATTAAATTTGAAATATCGGTGGCATAGCTTCCAGCATCACAGCAACACACAAGCTACCATGGTACGACAAACTGACAGACATCAAATACCAGCAGCGTCGCCCATGGCCGACAGGTTTCAGCTGAGCTTCCAGACTAAGACAGACTAGGAAGAAGGACCTGGTGGTTTATTTCTGAAAAAATTAGCCAGTGAAAGCCTCATGAATAGCAGCAGAACACTGTCTGATATAGTGCCAGAAAATGAGCCCCTTAGGTTGGAAGGCACTCAAAATACGACCGGGGAAGAGCTGCCTCCTCAAAGTAGAGTCGACCTTAATGACGGGGATGGAGTCAAGCTTTCAGGACCTTCATATGCTGATGTGGCATGACTCAAAATGAGAAGAAACGTGCAAACATCCATTAATAATCGGGACATGGAATGTATGAAGTATGAATCTAGGAAAATTGGAAGTCATCAAAAATGAAATGGAATGCATAAACACTGATATCCTAGGTGTTAGTGAGCTGAAAAGGACTGGTATTGGCCATTTTGAATTGGATAATCATATGGTCTACTATGCCAGGAATGACAAATTGAAGAGGAATGGCATTGCATTCTTGGTCAAAAAGAACATTTGTACTTCTAACCTGAAGTACAACACTGTCAGTGATAAGATAATATCCGTATGTGACAAGGAAGGTCAGTTAATATGACTATTATTCAAATTCACACACCAACCACTAATGCTAACGGTGAGGAAACTGAAGATTTTTACCAACTTCTGCTGAAACTGAGCAAACATGCATCAAGATGCATTGATAATTACTGGTGACTGAAGTGTGAAAATTGGAAACAAAGAAGGAACAGTAGTTGGAAAATATGGCCTTGGTGACAGAAACGACACCAGAGATCGCATGATAAAATTTTGCAAGACCAACGACGACTTCATTGCAAATACCTTTTTCCACCAACATAAATGGTAACTGTACACGTGGACCTCATGGGATGGAAAACACAGGAATCAAACTGACTACATCTGTGGAAAGAGATGATGGAAAACTCAATATCATCACTCAGAACGAGGCCAGGGGAACAGACCATCAATTGCTCATATGCAAGTTCAGCTTCAGTCCACGAGAGCCAATGTATAACCCTGAGTATATTCCACCTGAATTCAGAGGCCATCTCAAGAATAGATTTGATTCATTCAACACTAATGGCGAAAGACCAGATGAGTTGTGGAATAACATCAAGGACATTCTACATGAAACAAGTAAGAGGTCATTAAAAAGACAGGTAAGAAAGAAGAGACCAAAACTGATGTTAGAGAGACTCTGAAACTTGCTCTTGAATGTCGAGTAGCTAAAGCAAAAGGAAGAAATGATGAAGTAAAAGAGCTGAACAGAAGATTTCAAAGGGTGGCTTGAGAAGACAAAGTAAAGCCGTATAATGAAATGTGCAAAGACCTAGAGTTAGAAAAGCAAAAGGGAAGAACGTGCTCAGCATTTCTCAAGCTGAAAGAACTGAAGAGAAAATACAAACCTTGAGTTGCAATATAGAAGGATTCTACAGCAAAAATATTAAACAACTCAGGAAGCATCCAAAGAAGATGGAAGGAATACACAGAGTCACTGTACCAAAAAGAATTGGTTGACATTTAACCATTTCAGGAGGTAGCATATGATCAAGAACTGACGATACTGAGGAAGAAGTCCAAGCTGCACTGAAGGCACTGGTGAAAAACAAGGCTCAGGAATTGACGGAATACAAATCGAGATGTTTCAACAAACAGATGCAGCGTTGGAAGCACTCACTCATCTATGCCAAGAAATTTGGAAGACAGTAACCTGGCCAACCAGCTGAAAGAGATCCATATTTGTGCCTGTTCCAAAGAAAGGTGATCTAACAGAATGTGGAAATTATTGAACAATATCACACACAAGTAAAATTTTGCTAAAGATCATTCAAAATTAGCTGTAGCAGTACATTGACACAGAACTGCCAGAAATTCAAGCCAGATTCAGAAGAGGATGTGGAATGAGGGACATTATTGCCTATGTCAGATGAATCTTGGCTGAAAGCAGAGAATACCAGAAAGATGTTTACCTGTGTTTTATTGACTATGCAAAGGCATTCGACTGTGTGGATCATAATAAATTATGGATAACATTTTGAAAAATGGGAATTCCAGAACACTTCATTGTGCTCATAAGGAACGTGTATATGGACAAAGAGGTAGTTGTTCAAACAGAAAAGGGGATACTGCGTAGTTTAAAGTCAAGAAAGGTGTGGGTGAGGGTTGTATCCTTTCACTATACTTATTCCATGTGGGGACAGTGATGGACCTGGGGGTGTGCAGACATGCCATGAGGTCACCTCGGAGGTGGCAGGTCTGGTGGCTCCTCTCGGGAGCAGAAAGGAAAGCAGGGTGGAGGGGGGTGCAGGGGACAGAGCGCCTCCCTATGGACGCTTGTGCCTCCCACCCCCTGCGGCAGGCACATCTTCAAAGAGGGCTCTTGGTCGTTGCTACGTTGGATGGTTTTACTACAACTCCATTTTCTGTTTTTAAGGAGCAAACATCTGGAAATTTCTCTTGCTTTCTCCACTAGCCCTCCACCTAGTTGTAGCACCTCTGAATTGCAGCCTTGGGGTCTTGGGGTCCAATCGGATTTTCAAGATCTCTTTCTCTCTGTTCCCCCTACCCGGGGCCGAGCCTCCTGGGGTGACAGGGGGACCCCCCACCACTGCAAACAATACCGAGGGAGAAACCAGGCCAAGGCGACAGACGCTGGTGTGCCACCGTGTGATAGAAGAATGATTTATTAGAACAAATTCCATGACAAATCATATAAAATAGCCATTTTCTTAGACACCCACAAGACCACCTGAGAACGAACGTACAGACACCTCCGAGAAGCCAGACAAATAAATTACAGATCCCAAATCCAGGGCTGGGTGGGCTGGGGGAGGAGGAAAGAACTCAACGTGGGGGGCGGTGGATATGAACTCGTGAAGAAAAAAAAATGTACAGCAATTGCTAAGGAGGGGGCGGAAGGAAGAGGACATCTTGGATGAAGAAAACGGCCCTGGGGTCTCGGGTTCAGGCTGTGGGCAACTGTGCGGGGCATGCAGGGGCGGGCGGTGGCCGGGCTAGCACCTCCTCCAAGTGGACAGACAGCAGGCTCGCGGGGGCGGGGCCAGGCGGGACCCCACCCACCCACACGTAAACACAGGTGGGGCAAGAGTGCAGGACCCAAGCACTGGACTCCACACCACCGAAATGTAAACACGGAGCCCCGCCAGCTCCCAGCTCCCCTCTCCCCCCCGGCAGCGGGCCAGCCAGCACTGATCACCACTCTAGGCCGCTGCAGAGCAGGCCCCCACCAGCTGGTCAGGGCGGGACACTCCAGTCCCCACCTGCCATGGCCAGCGGGTCTTTGGCTTAGACTCCAGATTTGGGGCCTCCAAGGGGCCGAGCAGAGGGGCCAAGCTCTGCTCACCTGACACTTTCCCAGCTGAAAGAATCCTGAGAAAACCGAACTGTTCCTGGGCCCATCCCTGCCCCCTCCTCAAGAACACAGGAGCCCACAAACGCCCAGTTCATGCACACAGCACCCCGGGGTGGGGGGGGGGGCGAAAGAGAGGGGCTGAGGTGTCTAGGGCCACCCAGCTGGCAACCTTATTTCCAGCCACTTTGGTCCAGTGCTCACCTCCACTGCAGGGGCTGCACGCCCACCCACCAGCGCCAAACCCCCTAGAAATCCAAGTGCAAAGACCAGCGTCCCTCGCAGGGATACACCCGCGGCTCTCACCGGGGCTGGCAGAGCAGGTGTCAGGCTCCTGTGTGCAGGTGTGTCTGCAGGTGCACACCTGTGTGGACGTGTGTGTGTGCATGTGTGCAGGTATGTGGGTCTGCATATCCGTGTGTGCACAGGGCTGGCTTTCTGGGCTGCTTGGCCGTGGTCTGCCCGAAGCCCACCCTCCACAGTGCCCCCCAGGGAAGCCCACAAGCTCTGTGGGTTTGGCAGTCGTGTTGGCACCAAAGACAGCGCAGTAGGGTTCTGGCCGCAGACACCTCCACAGCCACTCCCCTTCCAGGGGCTGTTGGGCTGGGGACAGCTCTGGCTCTGGCTAGGTGGGGGCCCCAGGCCCCACCCTCCTTTGTCCACAGCCCAGGGGCTCGCACCACCCACCCCAGCTCTGCGTTTGGCACTGAATGATCCCACCTGTCCTCTGCCAGCCAGGCCGGCACAGACACGACAGGTGAGCGTTGCTGTGCCCCCGCAGGGCCGCCCCTCCAACTGAGGAGCCCAGCCCCGCTGGGCCGGGAGGGGCGCTTCCTGGCCCAGACCACTCTTCTTTCCAGCAAGACAAAAACGACAGTGATGGAGACGAGGCGGGGACACACACACAGGCCTGAGGCAGCCTCGGCTGAAGTGAGGGGGTGCCGGCTGGCCGCCAGAGGCCTGGGCGTGGCTGAGCCAGCTGCAGGGTATGGCACATGTGGGGGTCGTTGTGGCGAGCTGGCCTGCGTGGTGGGGCAGGCAGGGGCGCAGGATGCACGGGACAGAGGACGACCTAGATCAGGAACCCCTGGGTGTTGGGGAGGAAGATGGCGTCTGGGAGGCCGGAGGAGCCACAGTTCACGCGTGGCGGAAAGCCCCTCAGCGGCAGGGCGGGCAGCCCCGTCTCCGCCGAGGGGGACAGGCTCTGGGTGGCTGCCCGGCCCTTCCCTGGCGGGGCCGAGCCCCCTGAGCTCCCATTTCCCGTCAGCAGGTCCAGGTTCCCGCTGGGGTCCACGATGGCGTTGATGACTGTGGGGAGGAAGGCGCTGGGGCAGGCCGGCTGGGGGCCCCTCCCCACCCCCCACCACGAGGGCCCTCCTGGCTGAGCGCTCAGGTTCCCCCCCAGCGCCAGCCTGGAGCCCCAGGCCCTCTGGGCAGCCCCAGACCACCAGAGCCCTGCTGGGCCACACCCACCTTCCAGCTGCTTCTGCACGCGCCTCAGTTCCTTCAGGATGGAGCTGATTTCCTGGAAAGGGGGCGGATGAGGCAGCTGACACCAAGGGGGCTCTCCCTTCCCCTGGGGCCAGACCAGCTCCCATGCCCACCCCCCCGCCAGCTGGTCCAGGCCAGGCAGGCTGAGGGAATCTTGGCCAGAGGAACAGTGGGGGTCCCCGCCTGCCCCAGGCAGCCCCCCACCTTGTTGGACGTCTTCAAGATGGGCACCTCATTCTCAGCATTGATCCTGGCTTCCAAGTCCTCCCATGCGCGTCCCGAGTTCTGGAAAAGGATCCTGCCCACCAGGGGCAGGGTGGGGTGGGGGGCAGGTGAGGCCTGCAATGATAGCCCCCCAGACCACCAGGGCCTTGCTGGGGCTCCACCACCCTCTCCCAGCCTGAGGGGACCGTGGCCCGAGCAGGACCTGGGCTGGCGGGCACCTCGGCCTCTGTGATGCCTTAGGGAGGGGCCAGTGGGACTGAGGCTGGGGGGCATCCTGGAGGCTCTGGCTCCCCCGAGCTCAGGGTCTGGGTGCTGGGATGACAGAGCCCAGAGAGGCAGCAGGCCCGGCTCTGTGTGTCTGCAGGAGTGCCCAGACGGGGGCCCTCATGTGGACGTCGGGACATGTTCGAATCTGCATGGGCACGTGTGTGCCTGCCCTGGCCGGGCACCCTCGAGTGAACATCACTGTGTACATGTGCTCATGTGTGTGCATGTGTCTGTGTGCACACATGTGTCCGCCCAGGCTGGGCCCCCCTGTGCGGACATCAGTGGTTTGGACATGTTCACATCTGACCCTGGGGTTTCCCAAGCAGGCGCTGGGGATCCGCCCTCCTCCCCGAGCCCCGCCCCCCGGGCCGTGTGGCTGCTCACTTCATCTTCTGGGTGAGGCTCTCTGTGTTCTCACGGATGGCGTGCGACAGTTGGGACACGGGGTTCAGCATCAGGTTATCGAAGATCACCTGGGAGGAGCGGGGTGTCAGCATGGCTCCCGTGCCCCTGAGCGCCCAAGCCCCGTGCCCGCCCAACCCAGCCTGAGGGCGGGGCACGTGCCTCCTCGCGGTTCCGCGGCTTCGTCTTGGAGACCAGCGTGTCCTCGCGGCGGTCGTTCATGTTCTGGTCGAAGTCCCGCAAGTTCAGGGCACCGGGTGGCACCTTCTGGAAATTGAGGCTGGCTTCGGGGATGCGCTGCACCAGCTGCAGACGGAGGAGCGAGGGGCGTCGGCCAGGCAGGCGGAGCAGACCACAGCGCCGCCTGCTTGGGCGGGGGGGGGGTCCTGCTGACGCCCCTCCCCCCAGGGAAGGGCCGTGGGCGTGGGGCTGAGCGGCTGGCCTGGCTCTGGCCCTCGGGTACTAGCTGGGCCTCTGGACCAGCCCTCAGTGAGTGGTGCTGTTCTGGGAACAGACGCTGGGGAGGAGGCCAGTGGCCCTGGGGTGGCTACTGGTTGGACCCTGACCCAGCCTCCACGAGGTGGGACTCACCTCCTCGCGGGCAGAGATGGTGGAGGCAGGGGTGCTGGGCACGTTGTTGAGGGAAGGGCTGCGGGTGGGCCCCGGCGAGCCCAGCGGGTCACCGTCCCCAGCCACATCGTGGATCTCCCGGGCCAGGATGGCCACGTCCTTCACCAGTGTCTGGCTCAGCCTGAGAGGGCAGGAGACAGGGCCTGCTGGGTCCTCTGGGCCACCCAGTACGGGGGAGGGGTGGGAGGAGTCATGTGTGTCCGCCCCCCACCCCAAGACAGAGCCCTCTCCCAGGGTGGGGGCATGGCCAGGAGAAGCCACTGGGTGAGGGCAGGGCCTGGGGGTAAGCCCTCCACCATAGCCACCCAGGACCAGCCCACCCCACCATGGAGGCACAGCCCCCACACCCACAGCCACTAGAGGATGGAGGAGTAAGGCCCAGATGGGTGACTGCAGACAGCCACCTTCTCGTCCCCAGCATCCACCTCCTCCTGGTCGCTCTGGGCTCTTAAGCTTAATGTCCTAACATCAAATCCCTGCCGTCCAACCATCCGCCCACCTGGCCACCCACCCGTCTGTCCACCCAGCCACTGAGCCAGACGGCCAGTCGGCCCCCAAGACCCCTCCCGACCCCCTCGAGGCCTGGGTTCTGCCCCTTGCAGCACTGACCTCCCTGATGGAGAGGCTGCCCCTTTGCCCCGCCCCCCCCAGCGCCTAGCTCAAGGCAGGAGGTTCAGTTTTATTAAAAGCCTTGGTGGGGGTTCTCTTCTGTAGAGATCCCCACCATCCTGGTAGATCTGCATTCATTCATTCATTCATTCATTCATTTATTCATCTGACAAGCACTGACAGAGCTCTACTGTCTGGGCCAGGAGAATCCCCCAGCCCCCCTGCACCCCATCAATGGGTGCTCACCACGCATCCTGCCCCACTCACCTGGCAATCTCAGCGATCTCAGCCGTCTGCACGATGAAGCCGTAGGGGTCGGCCGCCTCCTCCTCCTCGTCCGTGTCTCGTGGACCAGGGGCCCGGGGCTGGGTGCGGCTGGAGCTGCTGGCCCGCGGGGTCTGCGTGGCTGTTGAGGCATGGGAGCGGGCGTGTTTGGGGGAGCCGCACTCCTCCTCGGAGGTGGACGTGTAATCCGAGCCCGGCTGCCGGCGGCGAGCATCTTGGTGAAGGAATTGGTTTCAGAAGCAAGAACAGAGCAGAGCTGCCCTCAGCGGCCATGTAGCCCCAGGCCCTGCGGTGAGGCCCTCATCCGCACCCAGAAGCCCTGCCCAGGCACACGCACGGCCCTCCGCGCACGGCCTCCACAGCCAGAGCACCCCATGCAGGGACCGGCGGCCTCAGGGAGGGCCCACGCTGGCCACAGCTGGCTGGGGGCCAGAGGCCACGTTGGGAGGTCTGTGCTGGTTACAGGGAACACAGCCTGCAGTGGCAGGGAAACAGCACCCAGCAGACACTGCCCAGGCAGCCACTCTCCCACCCGGCACGGCCACAGCGGAGCAAGCCACCGGATCCTTCTCCCCCGCCCCCCGCCCTGAGCCCCCAGAGTCGCTGCGTGCAGCGTGCTGCAGAGGCCGGGGTCCCACATGCCCACGCAGTGCCTGTCAGCAGCAGCGAGTACAGTGGACACCCGCCAAGCAGAGCCATCTTCAGGCCGCACGGCCACCCTTCCCTCCAGGTCCCCCTTTCCCACAGGCGGCAGCCCCCATGCCCATGTGTGGGGCAGCCTCCACCTGGGACCTGGTGGGGTGGGCATGCAGAGGTGACCGGGTGGGCTCAGGCAGTGCTGCCCAGGAAGGGGCAACCAGCCTGGGGGAGACGTGCGGAGAGCGAGGGTGTGGTTGGGGGCCGCAGGGAGGGGCTGCCAGCCTGGAGGAGATGTGAGGAGAGCAGGGCGTGGTTGGGGGACACAAGGAGGGGCAGCACACCAGCAGGAGGGAGCCCCCAGCCTGCACATGTAGCCAGTGCTGCCCCTCAACAATCCACCCAGAAGATAGCTCCTTGGAGGTCTGCAGGCTCAGAGCGTGTCAGGGCAGCCCCCAGCCAGACGGGCACCAGTGTTCCCCCAAGCACCTCCCTGAGCCATGCGGCCACAGCAGCCCGGGGCCCCTGAAGCCCTTGCCCACAGTGGCCAGCTGGGGCTTCATGTGACCCCTGGGGAGCCTGGGGTTAGGACTGCACCAACAGGAGGGCGGGCAGGCCAGCAAGATCTCCACAGCCCCCTGACCCATGCCCCCCGGCTCCTGGGGAGATGAGAGGAAAATCCCCTTTGTTCTGGGGTGGCTGGCACCCCACTGACCTTCTGCCAGGGGGCCTTGTTGTGTCCATGCTCAGGGCACTTTTGCGGGGGGTCTGGGCACATGCTCCCACCCAGCTTTGGACCGGGGATCAGAGCTCCCAGCCCAGGACCCTGCACAGGCCCACTGCCTGGAGGGTCTGCAGGGCCTGGGGGTGTCTGAAGAGAAGTCTGAGGGGTTTTGGGGTCCCACCTGCCCACACCCTGACCCCATACTCACTGGAGGAGGGGTACCGGGCACTGCCCGGGCGGGCCCTGCTGAAGGGCTGGCGAGGGGCTGTGGAGGCGGCAGCAGACTTCCTGGCTGCGGCCCGGGCCTCAGCCATGATGGGCTTGTGGCTGGTGCAGTACAAGTCAGCACTCCGGCCAGAGAAACCAGAGCGGGCGGGGGCGGCCTCGGCATCACTGGTGCCTGTGAAGGAGCCTGCCCGCTTCCGGGGCATGGCCAGGATGTCCAGTCTCGACAGCTTCTTGGCCTGCTCGGTGACCGGACGACCCGCCGCCTCGTGGTTGCTGGGGGTGCCCCGCTCACCGTCTGCGGTCTCTGTGTCCGACGTGTCGCCCAGACGAGCTCGCCTCAGCCGCGAGGCCCGTGTGGGCCGCGGGGTGGACAGGCTGTTGGAGCGGGTCAGCACCTGCTGCACCTTCTGGGAGTTGCTGGGACCTCGGCCCTGCTCCTCCCGGGCGGCTGGGGATGGCGGTGGGGCCACTGGCTTCCGCCGAGGGCCTGGCCGTCCTGCCCCGGTGTTCACAGGCGTCTCATGGTCTGAGGCAACAGCGTCTGAGATGGGTGGGTGGGTGGGGCCGGAGCCACGCCCCTCGTCTGGCCAGTCCAGGGCCCCACGGGGCCCATGCCCACGTCTCGTGGACAGGTCCCGGGCCAGCTCTCCGCAGCCAGCGTCTGCCAGGCGACGCTGCTTCTCTGAGGGCCGCTCCCGAGCACCGCTCAAAGTCGAGACCTCTGGGTCCTGTGCGGCCAGCGGCTTGTCCTTCTGCAGCCCCGTAGGCGGGGTCATCGGGCTGGACTCATTCTTGCCACTGAGCAGGCTGGCCATGCTGGCCGTGTCCACGTCTGAGTCCCCAGAGAGGGAGTCTTCTGGTGGCCCAGAGGGGCCACCACCCTCGCCCTGCGCCTCCGTGGACCTGGACAGCAGCTGGGCCTCCAGAGCTGCCAGCGCTGTCTCGGTCTCCTTCAGGATCAGGCGGGTGTCCTGGGAGTGGAGATCTGAGCGGGCGGCCCGGGCTGCAGCCAGGTCCTGGAGCAGGGGGTGGCTGGAGACGTGCGGAAGCTTGCCAGGGGCCGGTGGGCCACTGGCCGGCTCCTTGGTGAAGCTCTCCTGCCGGACGAAGGCCAGGGCCTCTTTGGACGCAGCTGGGCCGGGGCCCCCGGGCTCTGTGGAGTGCCCGGTGTCAAGCTGGATGACCATCCGCCCAGTGGTGCTGACATAGGCACCGTTCTGCGTCTGCACGCTGGGCGGAGCTGCCCGCGGTGGAGGCGCCGTTCCTGGGCCTTCTGCTTCCTCTGGAGCTGTCAAAGGTTTCCTGGTGGTGCCAGCCTCCCCATTCTGATCCCCTATGAAGAACGAGGTGGGGGCCGGCTCCCCCAGGGTCCGAGGTGAGCGCCGGCCCCTGGTCCACGGCAGCATCTCCTCGGGGCTCCTGCGTCTTTCGGGCGGTTGCCCCCGGCCTGGCTCAGGGCCCCGACCATTGTCTGACCCGCTGGCGTCACTAAGGCTATCAGGGTCCAGGTCCTCCTGGCGAAAGAGCAGGCTGGCCTGTTCGCTGCCTGGCTCCGGCAACCCGAGCCCGGCCTTCCTGGTGGCCTCGGGGCCCGCAGGACTATCCGCTCGCTCGCTGGGCAGTTGCGGGAGGAGGCGCCGTGTGCGCGAGGGCAGGGCCACCTCCGGCTCCGTGGGCCGGCGGCCAGCACCGTCCTCTGCAAAGGGCGAAAGACGGCCCATTAGGGTGGCGACCTGTCCCGGGAAGTGCTGGGTGCACACACACCGGCACAGAATGAGCAGACAGTGTGCCCCACCGGGGGTCTGACACCCCGCCAAAGTGAGGGACCACTCACCTGTCAGGCCCGGGTCTGAGTAGCTGTCAGCCAGGCTAGCCCAGCGGGACACCCACTTCTGAGCCCCGGGTGAGCCAGGCCCCTGGTGCTCTGCCTGTGGGGCTGTCCCTGCTGGCCGCGAGGCAAACTCCTGCAGCAGAGCCAGCCGCTGGGCCACACCCCCATCGGCCCCCTCCTCTCTGCCGTCTCTGATGACTGGGCGGAAGGTGGCCAAGGACATCCGGGAAAGCTCTGGAGACTCGAACACTCCAAACACCTGCCAGGTGGAGTCGGCACAGGGTTCACGGTCAGGGGTGCTGGCCCTCGTGCCTAGCAGACACAGCTCTGCCCCAGACCACAAAGAAGGCAGAGGGCCTGGCTGGCCAGATTGATCAGTGCCTGGACCCACAGCCTGGCTGTGTTGCTTGGCCAGTCAGGGACCAGGGGCACATAGACCCCACCCTGGGAAAGGGTTGGGGGGAGGGCAGGGCTGGATCGTGTGGCCCGAGGCGTGAGTCCGAGGCGGACCCCACAGCAGGCCTCCTCCAGCCGGACCTAACACAAGCGCCCAAGCCGGGCCTGAGCAGACCCATGTCCAGTGCATCACCCCCAGTCCCCGCCCCGCCCACCTGGTCGATCATCACCCCCAGTCCCCGCCCCGCCCACCTGGTCGATCATCACCCCCAGTCCCCGCCCCGCCCACCTGGTCGATCATCACCCCCAGTCCCCGCTCCGCCCACCTGGTCGATCATCACCCCCCAGTCCCCGCCCCGCCCACCTGGTCGATCATCACCCCCAGTCCCCGCCCCGCCCACCTGGTCGATCATCTTGCGGGCCTCCTCCACCTCCTGGTCCTGCGCCTCCGTCTCGATGGTGTAGGTGCCCGCGTCACTGAGGCTGTCATCCTCCTCCTGTCTGCGCGCCTTGGTCAGCTGGGGGTCGGCGGGGGGCGAGG